CACCATCCAACGTAGAATCCCTTATGTCCCCGACACGGAGCTCCGGGGTTCTCCCCCCTTGTTGCCCTCGGCGGCGACGACAGCAGGCGTATGCTCCGCCGGGACGGGACTCGGCGTCGCGGGCACGGGCGAGGGTGTCTTGGCCGCGAGACTCTCGCTGCTCGCGACCTTGGTGTCGTCGCTGACCTCCCGCTCCAGCGCCGACCGCTCCCCGGTCTTCGGCGGCGCGAGCAGTCCGGGCTGAGGTTCCGAGGGCCCGGGAGACGACGGCTTACGCGGCTCCCCCTCCTGTTCCTCCTCATTGGGGGCAGAGGGGGCAGCAGGAGCAGTCGTCATCGTTGTCGTCGTCTTCGCACCACCACTACCAGCCGCCACCACCACGGGCGCCGACGTCTCCGGGGATGGCTGCAGACGTTTGTCGACCTTCAGCACGGCAGCCGCGAGCCCGCGGACGCCCGCCGCCACGAGCTCCGGGCGTTCCCAGGCCAGGAGGCCCGGGTTCCCGGCCGCGCGGTGGGCGTGGACCACCTCGTACCGGGTCGTCGCCCAGGCGGGACACGAATACGGCGCGTCGGCTGCCCTCTGCTCCCGCTGCTCCGCCTGCTGCTGCTCATCCCCGAGGAACACGGTCAACGCCACGCGCGGGCGCTTCGCTGGCCTCCTCGTCCTCGCCCTCCCGGCCGTCTTCTCGCTCTCGGGGTGCCGCGCACAGTGCGCCCAGAAGCGCAGGGCGGCCTCGGGCCCCGGCAGCCAGGCGAGCTGGGTGAAGTTGATGATCTCGGCGGGCGCGAACTCCTTGCGCGGCGCGAGGAGGCGCAGGCCGCGCAGCACGAGGACGAGGAGCCCCGTAGGGGAGTCGCAGAGCGCGTAGGCCAGCGTGTTGGGTTCCGTCAACCCCCCTAACCCCGCCCCCGACCCCGCGGCGGCGGCGGCAGCAGTGTCCGAGGACTCGACGTGACGGACGCTCTGCCTCATGGCGGAGAGATCCTCGGACCGGTAGCCCAGGACGGACGCCTTGAGGATCCTGGCGAGGGACCACTTCGCCCAGCCCAGGGGCGCCTCCTGGAGTCTCGGCCGGGTCAGCGGCGGCGAGATGAGGTGCGCGCCGAGGCACGAGCCGGGACGGTGCGTCAGCAGCCGATCCGCGAGCTTATAGTCGATCTGGGCGGGCGACAGGCTCCCCGCGCTCGCATTGGTGACCAGGTAGGCGGCGTAACCCAGGCGCCCCATCAGGGCGTCGAGCAGGTCCGCCGTGGCGGCTACGACGGGCGCGTCGGCCGGGAGCGCGTCGCTGAAGCCCAGGCCCGGCAGCGAGGGGACGACGAGGTGGAAGGGCTGGTGGTTCGCCTCGTCGGGCTCCGCGAGGGGCCCGACCAGGTGGCCCAGCGAGAGGCTCGAGAAGGGGAACGGCGGGATCAGCAGCAGGGGCACCGCGCCCGCGCGCGGCGAGCGCGCGTGGATGAACTGGATCCTGACCGGCGTCTTGGAATCCGGGACGGCGAAGCCCGTGCGGAACTGCGGGAGGCTGTTCAGGATCTCTTCCTGGTCCCGCCATCGATATTGCTCGAGCCTAAGCGCGTCAGTATATACACTCATAGGATTTGGGGGGGTGTTCGTGACAAAACCATGTGGGGGAAGACACGGAGAGTAGTCACTTATAGGATGCATTGCCGCATTCGCGAGATGGCGTGTAACTCACCAGAAGTCAATCAGAGGTTCAACCTGGGATTTTGGCTGCCACGAATCCTTGGACTTGGGCTCATCAAACTCATGGGGCAATCGCGCGATCTCCAGTTTCTGTCTGGTGAGGTTCAAATACTTCGAGGAGACCTGGGTACCGCGCCGGATAACAAGTATTAGCCACATACACATTGGTCTCATCAACTGGAAAAGGCTTATGGCAAGCGACTCACGTGTATTCTGTAGGGTTTGACTTCTTCCACCGCAGCACTGCCGTTGTCCGCTGCTACAGCGGGTTCTTCAACCTCGGCCATCACGAGTATTACAGCTTATAAATAACTACGCGCTCTCGTGAAACAGCCGGGAGAAATGGCAGGCCGGGGTATAGAGACTTTTCAAAACAAGAGATCAATGGTCAAAAAATGGCACACACAACAGCTAAGTATGACAGAGAAGAGAAGAGAAGAGGAAAGCCACAATACTCCCTCGCCTATGGGTATCACAGCCGCAATGCTGCCGCTGACCGAAAGATAGAGAAAGAAAAAAAACTTAATTATGATAATAACCACCCTTTCTCATTAAACTAATTATATGCCGTATCAAGGGGACCGAAAGGGGGACCATGTATCGCGGTGGCTTGACTCGGTGTGGCTAAAGTCAGGGTCGTACGTTGCCAAGCGCTGCCTGGACCAGCTCGATCGAGCCCCCATGGAGCCCCCATGCCCTCATGCCCTCCGGAGAAAAAAGCAGGGTGACAGTAGAGACGAACCCCGACAGCCAATGGCGACGGTGTCCTGGTTCTGGGACCGGCTAGACCGGGAGATGGGCTGGGCCTCCAGGGTTGTTGCGGCTGCGTGCGTTTTTCATGATTACGTAGCAGAGCAGAGCCAATGAAGAGGGCGGCGCCCGACGTGTTTGGGGAATTATCCGTGTCTCACCTAAACGAGCAGAGATGACTGGGCCCTGCTGCTGAATTATCGCGCCGCTCTGGAGACGGTGAGAGCCGCGCGTGTCGCATGAAGGCAGGGTAGGGGGGGGGGGCCATTTCCTGCTTGTCATCTGTACTACGCATGATGTGTGTCGCCGTCGCAATACGGTATTGATTTATTTATTGCGACGGGTAGTACGCTACTCTACCGCTGCATCTCTTAGTGAGCAGCAGAAACGCGCCAACGGCTCCCTAATCTGGCACCGCGCGTTGCTTAACTCGGATACCTAGTCTAGATGTCTACTGGGTAGAGGCTCCATCCCAGACCCAACCCTTACCCGTTTTCCATGCAAGGACCGAACCGAGCCGGGGGCCAGCCGGCGGGGTCCTCCTGGGTAGATAGGTTTATTTATGTCTATCATGTTCTGTCATCATCAAAAACGTGTTGCCGTGACTAGGTAGAGCATCACCGAGTCAAGCACACTCAGTTTTACGTCTGCAGGTAGCATCGAGAGTTACTGCAAAACATCGTCCTAACCAACGGGTTCTAGGGCTAGTACTAACGTACACAATATATAGTAGACGATATACGCCATAGATAGTGAGTAGTCTGTGACAGGAAGAATGTAAAGCAAACGGAAGCCCTCGACTGTTTATATTTCTATTCATTTGATTTATGCCCCGAGGAGAAGTGGTAGGCAATAATAACAGTGCTTAGTGACCTGAATATCTGCGACACGTACACAAACTGAAGAAGCCGAAGCGCATCATTGCTGGTAGTTAAATATGCATTAGCGAAGGTCTCGGCTTTAGAAGCGAAGGTCTTAGACAAAGCTCCGAGAAAGGAAGTGCCTAGCGAGAAAATTAACGCTATTGGGGGTATCAAAACCTAACGAAACCCTCTCGGAAAAGAAGAAAAATTAGAGCGCTACGGGTCACCATGCAGTTAAATGGAAAACCTGCCTTCCAAGCCCTCTGTTCCAATACTGGACAAACTTGAAGACGGCACAATTAAGCTTAAAAACAAGCAGTTAAAGAGTATGTGCCTGGTACATACGGTAGCTCAAACGTTAAACTACGTTAGGGTAAGGGAAGTATCTCAGCAAGGATGCTGAAGAGATCAAGTTCAGTCAGACCACATAATCTAAAATCATATTTCCAGCGAAACAACATGACGAATACCATTCGCCAATCATAGTTTGTTTTGGGAGTTTTCATGTCCTGCAAGTTGGAACACGTCTAACCAGCTACTTTGGGTTTGGGCACGGTGCTGCCCGGAGCGCAAAATATATCACCGCAATGAAGCCACCAACCCCTCACCCCTCCCCCATTTCATGCATCATCCTCATCGCGGCCGGTCCACCAGCGCCACTGCGTTATCTGGAGTCAACAATACTTTCTTTTTCAACGGGAAACGGTGAGGGTGCCCATATCGGGTCCGAGCTTCGGATGTCCACTTACCAGCACCTTGCACCAAAAGATGGTCTCCATGGTGCCCAGGACGCCGACAACACTGTACACGACGAACTTGGTGATCCGGTTCATGCCGAGGTTTTGAAACCCGATCTTGAAGTCGTCTTCGGAGGGCGTGTAGTGGATTGGCTCGCGGGGGCGCGACGCAGGACGGCCCTTGCCGGCATTGGTAGCGACGTCTTTCTCGACCGGCGTGGGCGCAGATGGCGACGAGAGGAAGCGAGCACTTGTCGCGAGACCACGCCTGGGCCGCATGCCGTTGCTGACCCTTCCTGATCCGTTACTTGAGGCTGAGAATACGTATGAACGGGGTCGCGCCCCACTGAGTGATGCTCCTCTCAGGATGGCTGGTGCCAGGGAACTAGCAGGTCTCATTGTAAACAGAGGGCGGATGCAGTCTCGATAAAACTTGTGGTCCTAGTGATGAAGAGCGCCATATCCGAAGCCTCCCGGCCATAACTTATATACTTTGACTTCACATCATATTCTTCTCTTTTTGTCGGTTGAAGGCGAGGGACCTGATGACCAGTTTGTCATGGATACGCGAATACGGCGTATTTCAACAGGTAGCGTCTGGTGGGTTTATTCTAATCAATTATGACGCATAGCGACAGCAACAAAGTGTACCAGCTGTCAACACGAATTGTATTAGTTGCATGCTTCATGGTCAGAAAATAAATGCTGACGTGACCGCAGAGTGCCATTGTATTAGCTAAGTCGTAGGTGCATTTCCTCTATGTGTATACGCTGGCCTACGTGATTCGGCCTTCTATCTAATCGCGTCTCTACTGATACATCTAAGAACAAGGTTGAGAGCGACGAGAAGGGGGTAAAAAGTGAATAAGTGAATAATACAGAATTGCAACAAGGTCATGAATGCTTCTCTTTCTTTCAGGACAAGCAGACTAAAAAGAAGGGCTGCTGTGACCGAGACTCGAACTCGGAGCCTAGGCAGGCGCATATGAAGGACATGGGAAGCCTAGATGTTAACCCTTACACTATCACAGCTTTCCACGGATCGTTTGCGATTCCGTCCATGTCATCGATGTGGAGAGAAGTCTTCAAACCGGTATATATCACTGCCCAGGTGCTGTAAGCCCAGGGGAGAGAGGGGTTAGGTCGTGAGCAGAGCGGGGGTGTTGAGTGGGGAGATTGCATGCTACGGGGAACCTTTCTACAAATATGCGTTTACACGCAACCGCAACCACCTAGCCGGCAACCTTCATTCTGTGGGTCCGAATAGGTACCCCACCAGCCTTTCGAGTACCCATCACCACGGATCTAACCTGAGAGCTTCCTCGTAGCACTTGATTTCAAGCTTGATCCCACCTATAATCCACATGATATAGTGTTTATCCGCCAGCATATATCCCACATATCCCAGGGCACCGACCTCGCCGGGCTACTGTCCTGTCCTCGCCAAACAACCCGACACAGCTGTCTAGATACCGCAACAGCAGATCGTGTCGTTTTAATCCAGCCTTTCCTAAGGAACAACCAGCCAGCCAGCCCAGCATGAGCGGCGCCAAAGGCGGCGACAAGATCGGCAAGATCATCGCGCGGCTACAGCAGCGCATCAGCGAGGGCCAGTTCTACGAGGCCCAGCAGCAGACCCGCGTCGTCGCCGCGCGGTACATCAAGGCCACCAACTGGACTGCCGCCGTCGACATCCTCTACAACGTCGCCCAGTCGCTGCTGAAGGCCGGCCAGGGCGGCAGCGGCGGCGACCTCTGCGTCCTGCTCATTGACACCTATAAGCAGGCCGAGCTCAAGCCCGACCCCGCCACCAAGAGCAAATTGTTGACGTGCTTGCGTCTGTTCGACAGCCAGGAGCCCACGCGCAAGAAGTACATTGGAGAGATAATATCGTACGTTCATGAATCTGTTCTGTTCCGTTGCTGCTATCGTACGCCAGCTGGGAAGAGCTACGAAAATGTGCTAATACAGAAGGCTACTCACAGATGGTCCTCGAAATTCGGCGAATACCCTGCTGGCGATCCCGAGCTTCACCACGTTGCTGGCTGCTTGTATGCCGAAGAGCACGAAACCTACGATGCTGAGAAACATCTGCTGCTGGGCACCAAGGATTCCCCCGAAGTGCTAGCCCGCATGGAATACGAGTGGTTCAAGGAGGACGATGCGCACACGGCTGCCTTGTACGCTGGCCGAGCAGTGCTACCGTATCTGATAACGGCGAACGTCCGAGCCGCCAATACATCCTACCACGTCTTCACAAGCGCACTCAGCGAGGACAAAGCGTCCCAGCTCGGTGTTCAAGATGTGAGCAGCAATAGTGCCGATCTGCGGGTGTTCCCCAGCATACCGCTCCTCAATTTCCTCGGCCTGCTATTGCTCGCCATTCAGAGAGGCACTCCGGAACTGTACAGACAGTTGGCGTCGAAGTACGCTACCCACCTGAAAGACGTCGAGATGTGGGACGAGGCGTTGGAGATAATCGCCGAAATTTACTTCGGCATTGTGAAACCGCGGCAGAGCAATCCTCTGATGGATATGATGAGCGGGTTCTTTGGTGGTGGCGGTGCTCCTGCAGGCGGGAGCTCAAAGAAACCTGCAATCAAGGCCCCGTCATCAAACTCGATGCCGGCCGCAGAAGGCCTAGACTAGACAAGCCGTGCAGAGACAAGTGTAGCATAGAAGACTGGTATAGAGATCATAGCGAACAATCCTAGCCATGTTCAGTGCACGCGCGGTGGCTCTTCGGCTTCGTACATCCAATTATCCTCGGCCAACGCGGCTACCTTGGCTCTCATGCTGGCCCTGAGTGCCTCAAGCGCTTCTGCTATCACTTTCAGTCTCGATTGATCCGTAGCATGAGTCACCAATTGTTTACCTTCATGATGTGCCGGCAGGCGCGTGTGGTTGATCTGGTGGTGTCGGACGGCCTCAGCCAGTCTCTGTCTCTCCCCTGCCCACGTACACATAGTAAGCCCATGATCTCCCCTCCCAAAGGACTCCATCCATTAACAGAGGGTGAAAATGAGGGAGGGGGGGTGCGTACGCTCATTCTCCTGCATGTCGTCGAGGGCGCCCTCGTCGTCCGGATCGTCGAGCGGCGGCGTCGGCGGGTCCTCGATCTCGAACTCGCCGTTCTTGTCGCGGATCACGATCTCGGAGGACTGGGACTCGGAGAAGACGTCGGCGTCGAGGCACAGCGTCGAGGCGGCCGAGTTGGCCGACGACGACGATGACGACGACGGGGCCGCAGCCGTGGCCGTGGCCGTCATGCTGCCCGCCGCGGCGCCGTCCCCGGGCCGCGCGCTCTCGCCCGGCGTGGGCCGCCGCGTGAGGTGGCTCTGGAACAGGTTGCGCCGCACGCCCGCCGTGCCCGCCGCGGCGCGTGTTATGCGGCTGGCGCCCGCGCGCAGGTTCGGGGGTGGCGCGCGATCGGCCATTGTGCGAAAACGATTTCTGCTGGTATTTAGGTATAGTCTGTAGGGTCCAGGTTGGGTTGTCTAGATCGTGTGGCTCGGATGAGGCTCTTGCGACTTGTAATGATACTGCCTAGTATACGAGGTCAATGGCTTGGCAACGTGGTCGTCGTCGGAGGGTTCCTTGTTGTGGTAGGTTAGAGGTTTTGATCGATGCTTTGTTGATCCATCCTGTGTTTGAGTTACCTACCTCTCGTACCTTATCTAGGTACTTGAACTTAGTCATTAGGTAGGTACCGTATAGGTACCTCTTGTAGGTAAACGGCTTACAAGGGTCCCCCCAAAGCCCGGCGGCTTTAGTGGCACAACACCCCACACTTAACCAAGTGGACCCTGATATCGGTATTTGTACTTTAAGATGCCGTACTATACCTACCAAATGATGGGAATTATTCAACTTGTCCTTTGGGGTTGAAGGTAATTGATCCCTTCAAAGACATGCCATTGACGGCCCAATGCTGACTAAGTACTATAGCAAGTACCGGTTACAGCACGAAGTCAGTGTTACGTGTTACGACTACAAGTAATGTTGGTTGTTGGCCCGCTGCTGCCCCACTACAATCCAAATAGCTGTACTTGTATGATAATGGCAATATTCTCCCTTGATATAGGCAAAGCGTCTCCGATATTTCTGAAAGCCTAAGGTACGTTGAGAATGATGTGCAGGCGTACAATTAGTGAATCAAGTTACCCAGGTATGCGGTACAAGTTGAAGCAGCACTGATGAGATGGTTGATTGGCTAATCCAGATCCTCATGTACGAACCTTTAGCGGGGCTTTACTGAGTCGGTAGGTAGGTACCCGATGGTAGCTCTTTGTTGATAGCAACCCAGCTACTTCTTGACTAGGTGGTTGTCTCGTTCACTTATTACCATCCCTAGAGCGTGGGTTTTGTTCCCTACGTTTCCAACCCATCGTGGTTCTAGGCGTCAGCCTTTCTGGGAATCATCTCTCTACTTCGCTGACCTTTGAACATGCTCTCGCCCGCCTTCAACATCCAGCCGATTGGCCGTTTTCGCGGCGAGAGCGAGCCGGTGAAGCGACCCAAGGTACGCCACGCACCGAGACAGCAGTCTTGAGGACATCTTGACACCCAGTCCCCCCCCGTTCCCTATATTCATATTATTACGTAGTAAAACCCCACTGACGGCGTTCAAGGAATTCGCATGCTTTTCCTACGACGACAAACACCAGTTTCGTCTTGACGACTCATCGCTGCAGTGGTACTATCCCGCCAGGTTGGGGGCCGACTTGTCCAAAGGCTTCGACAAATTCGATAAACATGATGAATCTATCGACGAGCATCTAGATAGCCTGCTAAAAACTATCGCAGCCCATGAAAAGGAGGAGGGGAAGAAGATCGACGCCAACATCGTCACGTGGCGTGGCATGATGACCAAGGTGAAAAGCACATTTCTTTAAAGTTCATAATGGGGGTTGCAATCGGTCTAATTACGTTTCTAGATAATGTCGGTACCATTTGAGGATCGAGATGGGTATGTCCAAATAGTACTGATGATAGTGACAACCCCTACTGATGCGCTTTATGCTAGCTTCGAAATGAACGCAACCCTCTATCAAGTGCGTGACCTTATTGCGATCTTACAGGAAATTCTTCATTAATATTTTCGTAGGATTGCATGTATGGACCCGCGTGCCAGGTCAACTGAGGTTGAGCTAATCCAACAGCGGCGCAGTTTCATCGAGGACAGTTATGAAAACAAACAACTCTCCAAGGAAAAGCAAAACAGAGAGCAGCGAGGCCGCCGAGGCCAGTTTTCGCCGGAAACGATGACATATTGGGGTAAGGCACTTGACGCCCACCGCCCTTGCTTCCGGCAACAACACTTACTGGAAACACAGGCTATAAGTTTGAAGCTCTCTCTTGTCTGCCACGGCCTTGGGGTGAAGTGAGCCGCGAGTTGATCGAAAACCGCGATGAACATATTGTTAGCAATAAAGCACAGTACTGTTCTGTTGTCCGTACAGGCATAGGCAAGACAATCCTATGCCTCGGCGGAGAAGTTGACGCCAGTAAATCTTCCAAAGCCATAGTACCCCTTATCATGTCACGCAGAAGTACTGACCGCGCCATGTGCCAAGTTTGGGACTCTAAGCCCACACAGAAAGGAGCACCAATCAACTGGGTCGAGTTGAAGACAAGTGTCGAGATCCGCGATGAAAGAGGCATGAGCAATTTCGAGCGTAAGCTCATGAAATTCTGGATCCAGTCCTTCCTGCTTGGTGTGCCCAAGATTGTCGTTGGCTTCCGCTCCCAGGGCGGGATCCTTACCAAACTTGAGGAGATCCAGACAGCTTCAATTCCAGAGACGGCTGCGAAGCGAGGCGTACGCAGTTGGGATGCAAATATGTGTATCAACTTTGCGAACGCATTTCTTGAGTGTGCGTCCTCCCATATAGATCCATTACGTACATGACCATGGACGTTGACTGACTGGCTTGATGTAGGGCTGAGAAATACAATCAATGATGAAGGGGTTTGGAGAATACGTAGGCGAGCTGGCTCACAGACCATCGAGGTCTTTAAGGTGGAAGAAG